ATATCGGCTGTGCTGAACGGACCTCACGGCAGTAGAGAGGAGCTGGTTTCCACAGCCTGGCAGGCACGCGCGTGCCCCAGGGGAGCTTGCAGCAAGCTCCCGTTACGCTGCCTGGGACAAAAAAACCCTTCCTCCTGCCTGGAAACCACCCCTGCACAGCCTTGGTCTCTACGAGCAAATTACATCAGTGGTCGCTCACAGCCCGGCCAACGTGAAGGCACCGTCGCCGGGTTCCCTGATGTCAGCCCTTGGCCCCGCGCGCAGCCAGCTCTGGCACTGGCAGGGCTTACGCTCGCTGCCACAGCGTGCAGCTGCTTTCCACAGCTCTTTGGGGTGGAACTAATTTTTCCCTTCTCTACCTCGCAGCAGGGACCCTCTCCTTGTGCCAAGTATGCGTGCGAGGCGCTGCCTCCCTTGGCTCCGTGCAGGGGCTGGCTGTGAAAACAAGTGCCCTGGGGTAGGTTTCTCCCGGGGGAACGGCGTTTCTCAGCGCAAAGTGAGCAGCACTGAAGTGGCTTTTCAGGAAACGGTGATAAAAATAGCCGTAATAGCCCTTACAAGTGTAAGGGCAGGGCGTGCAGCATCCCCGCGCACTGGGTGGGGAAGGTGAGCTGAGCTGCGGGGGCTTGGTCTACGCTCCCATGAGCACTGGGCACTTCCATTGCAACCCAGCAGGACCAGCCTGGGTACCCCCCTCCAGCTAGAGGTCGGTGCCAGGCACGGAGAAAAGATGCCTGAACTGCTCAGTCCTGGCAAGTGATTCCTTCCGAGCATTCGGGGGTGGCAAGGGGGAGCTCACGCCACAGCCTTGCTGTCCGCCAACAGCCTGGGTTTGGAGGAAGACAATCGCAAGGGTAATTAACAGCTTCAGCTACTGCAAGAACAGCTCTGAGACAGTTCAGGAAAAATAAAAATAAGTCAACATTTATTTTACCAGTGAGTTCAGCCCCTGCTAGGACAGGGACACAGTCCCTAATGTTTTCAGGCATGTGAAAGTTTTGGTGCGCTGGGTTTCAGCAACTCCTGTGACCAAACTGAACCACGCTACGGGAGCATCTCCAAACCCCCCGTCATCCATCACACAACCTGAGTGAGACTGCCGGAGCTCGGCTGCAAGCATAACACCTTTCCTTTCTTTCCTGTGGCCTTATCTGACACCAAACATACCAACAAGAATGAGCTCCAGACTGGCATCGTCCTTTCGACGTCCCAATGCCCCAATAAGAACACAGCAGAGGGGAGGCAGGTACGTTGCAGCTGATGGGGAATTTGTGCTAAACAAAAGCTGCCAGCCCTGGCGCCACTGCTGCTGGACAGAAGGCAGGCGAACAACCCTGAGCACGTGCACGGCCCCCTTCCTCACCGCCTGTGGCCCAGCTGTGAGCTACTTCTCACGATGTAGGTTGCCCCTAGTTTTGCAAAATCCACTGCTGAGAACTACCCTGGACCAAGGGAAGGCAGACGGCTTCCCACGGTCTCAAGGGAAGGAGACCACGAGCCAAGCTGCAAGCTGACACAGTGTTGGAGCTCATCTACGCCAGCAACCTCCATTGCGTTGGCAGCGGCTGCCTCCTGATTTCAGGACCCAGGGCTGGGCAGGCACTTAATTCTCCTTAACAAGCACTGCCTTAATTTAAGAGCAACCTATTCTGGTGTGAGCAACAGCAGAGAGCAAGCAGACCATCCTCTGAGGTCAAATACAGAGGGATTTATCCCTTAGACAACTAATCACTTTTTGCCCATCTTCTGTGTTCCTTTGGCAAACTGTTAACGCATTCCTAGGAGGCTGACCAGGCACGGCTCAACCGAAAGGGAATGCTGGGCCCCCTACGCTATCAGACCTCTCCTGCCTCAGCACCAGTATTTTCACTTTGGTCTCCTAAAAAAAAAAAAAAAGACTCGGTGAAGCTGCATTTTGGTCTCCATCCCCCAAAACAATCAGGCTGTTCCTTCCTCCCAAAAGGATGAACTCCAAAAAGGATCCTTACACTCGACACACCTTAATCTGTGGCTTGGAAAAATAAATAGGACTTACAATTGTATAGCATCTGGCCAGGATCAAAACTGTAGGTTCCCCCCCTGCCCACCCCCTCATGACATCAATAAAGAGTCACTGAATAAAGCCCGAACTTGTGCACGGCTCAGGGCGCGCATTCCCTTCTCCCGGCTCCTCCTCAGTCATACTGCAGCAGGGAGTGGAAAGGGATGGACTTGAGCTTTTCCGACCCTTTCAGGAGTTTTAACTCTATGATCACCAGGCACTCCAGGACTTCAGCCCTCAGCCTCTTCATCAGCTCGCAGGCCGCCCACATGGTACCTGCACGACACAGAGGTTGAGCAGAAACATCGTCACTCGAGGAGCAGTGCCGAGGCACTCCTGCTGTCACCAATGCACGCGTACGGGGGTTACGCGTGCCCTAACACCATCTGCTTCTCTCACCTCCAGTTGCAAGCAAGTCATCTACAATAACTACTTTTTGTCCCGGTTCCACGGCGTCGCTCTGGATTTCAAGTTCAGCCTGCAGGGTGGAAAGAGTAGCTTCATTTTAGTCTCGCCTTACGGGGAAACACTTCACAAACTGCTAACACATGGTGGAATGCAGACGAGTCTTCAGCAAGATCAACCTTAACACTCAGCAGCTAAAACCCCCGAAACACATACTCCAGCTACAGGGGAGTGCCACAGAACTACACAGCGGGTTAGGCGATTGCTGGGCCAACCCTCTGGCATGTCAAGATCCTGAACATTCATCAAGTGAGTTATGGTCCCGTGGTGAAACCTTATCCCGAAGCAGTTCTCCAGTGGGGAAAATCTCCTGTAATGCACTGGGCTGGAGCACTCTGCCTTGAGAGCGCCGCCAAGCCAGATCCAAACCGTCACAGGCACGTCCTGTGTCGGATGAACTCGTCCCATGCAGGGGTTGGCCCAAACAATCCTCATAAATAACGCCTAGGTTTGGTGTTTCAGCTGCCAGTCCCTGGCTGCCGTTAGTTGCCAGCGGTAGCGTGTTATTAGGCTTACACCTCTGCTCTTTAATCAGAGAGGCTGCGGTGTTACGAGGTCAGCACTCCGTTTTGAAGCCATGCAATAAAGGCATTTACTTATAGCACTTACTGGTAGAGTGGGAAACACACTCCACGTTCATGCCCCTGAATTCAAGCCAAAGAAAATAATTTAGCACCAAGTCTTATCACCTCCCACAAAAATCACAGTGTGGCTCACTGACACAAGCCACGTGTCCGTGGGCTGCGAAACCCAGCTTGGGGACCACCCCGCTGGTTTTATCACCCCGTCCCCTCACTGACACCCCCCCGGCCCTCCATCAACCAGCCTGGAAACTCTCTTCTCCTCCCCAGGTATTACCTTGCCATACTCAAGGGCGTAGGAGACCGACTCGGTCGGACCGGGAAGCTTCCCCTTTTTCCGTATCAGCACGAAGCCGATCCCCAGTCTCTGAGCCAGGGAGGGGCCTATGAGGAAGCCACGGGAGTCCAGGCCTGGGGGGAGCAGAGCAGCACGAATACTCAGAACAGAGCCATTTGACTGGGGGTGTCTTTGCACGATACCCCAGGTTTATCCTCCCGTGTTTAGGGGGGTCTCTAGAAGCAATTTGCTCTTACAGTCATTTCTATGGGTTGAAAACACACACCGCACTCCTGCACTGCCTGTGTTCGCCAAGATGTGCTGCTGACAGGCTTCGGGGCACCGCATCGATCCCCCCATCAGCCCGTTTTGCCTCCCTTCTAGCTCTTCTTCTTCGAGATAAGCTCAGCTAAGCTCCGGTATCAGTTCAGCCACACAGCCAGGGACTTTGTACCACCGGGAGACAGACTTCAGTTATCATGAGGCACTTGGACCACGTTTCGTCTAGACTCCTTGAACTTTGGGCTATCGCCCAGCCCAAGCACTGCCTTCCTAAGCACTTCCATCCTCAGCCTCTTTCATAGGTGTGTTGCAACGCGTTATCACCACAAAGGCTGTTTCTGTTGGCTTGAAAAGGCCCCCCGAGAAGGAAAACATGCTGGAACAGGGTCTGCCTGCCGTGGGGACTGTGCGAGACCTTACAGGCACGCCTGTAAGACTTTATGACAGACTTTCAGTACTCCCCGACTCTTTTTTTCATGATGAAAGCAATGAATTACGAAATTGGCACTGAAGTATCATCAGATGGCGCCTGCCACATCCAAACCCAGTATTTCAGGAAACTACAGAAGTAAGTTAAGGGTATAACCTGTCCCGGTGTTACCGTACGACAGAGGCCAACATTCGGGTGATTGTAATGTCCAAGGGCTACAGTATTTCCTGCCCCATTAGCAGAGGAGCCTCCCCACGCCTCCAGCCCGAGGACACGGCGCTCTGCACCGGCCTCAGAGATGTTTCAACCAACACCCACCTGCAATAAAGTCGATTTTGGGGAAAGATGCCCTCAAATGATCTTCCAGAAGATCAATCAAAGTCCCGAAAGCCGCAGGATCCTTCAGCAAGGGGCTGATATCGCTGCAAAGAGAGGGAGTGCGGTTAGCTACCTCCGGGGGCCGGTCTGGCTCCCGACCGAGCTCCGAAGCCCAGGGGAAGCGGGTCCCGCCATGTGCTGCCAGGAGCAGGCAAGGGGAAGGATGGGCAGCGAGGAGAGGAGCTGGCAGCAAGCCCCCCGTCCGAGCCCCGGGCTCTGCTCCATCCCCGGCCCGGCCCCGTCC